TTTCGAAAACAACAACACAAATGATCAAAATGTAAACAATACTAAACATCTTGAAAATCGTGACAAAACAGTCCCAAAACAATATTAGAGGATCCGACCAACTCCTAAATAGTTGTATCTTGACATGTAACAACAAATAATTGGGACACATAGAGTGTGATTTTTGACAAAGGGTGATAAGGAAATGTTCCGAACGAGTGCCTCAACGCAAACAACACACAATCCTAAAAAAAACACAAGGAAACTTTAATTCTATGATATTAAAATACTTATAACCGATTGAAATATGGACAGAAACACACTTAGACAGCTATACTAAGTTGTGATGTACTAATTCGAGAGCTACTACCGATAACAGAACGATGTACTTATACTGGGACAGAACGTAGAGAAGGGGTGTCACTTTCAACAATGAAAAGAGACTTTTTTTGAAAGCGTTTCGTTTTCGCAGTATTATTCAAAAACATGCACTCTACTCTAACTCTAATTTCAACGATATCTTAGCCATACAACACCTCAAATTTGATTTACATTCAGTGCCTATGCATCGGGGAAAAAGGGATGATAATCGGTGGTCCCTTTGAACAATCTGTCGAGGGTGTTTCCGGCACGAAAAACAAACTGACCTCATAACATTAACGATGAAAAAGTTAGTCTAAATAATGAACAAATATATATAAATTCACTACGTTCAATTACCCACCATAGACTCCTGTCAGTCAAAATGACTATTTTGAACTGTAGGCATTAATCAGCGATTCTGCCAATGACAGAGAGATAGAATCTAGGTCAGGGGAAGCCCCATGACCCTAAGATTCTTTTCCCTTACATCACAAACCATGTGACCGAGCCCATATGGCAGCACCACTACGGCTGGATATTCACTCTGCTTTTTTCTCCGCATCGAGTGGAGATGAAGTCTAGCGGCTCTGCCTGGATCACTTGCTTTTTCCTGTCCAGGTTTCTAGCTTGGGTTGTTGCCGCTGGTGCGGCATCCAACATTGTAGCTGGTAGGATAAGTTTTCCTTGTCATTTTTACCCTCGTGTCGTTTTTCTCTTTGTGTGTAGCATTTTTCACAACAAACAAATAAAACCTGGGCGTCGTAGCTTAATCACTTGTTGATTTTGTTACGTCACCTTTTCCTACCGTAATTCGCTTCCCTCGTGCATGTCATATTCATTTTATGCTTGATCTATGTATTTAGAAATGAATAGATGTAATGACAGCACCAGGGCTCGCTGCCATTTTTTCGTCTCCTCATTTTTCGAGTCGACTGTGCAGTGGTTATATTCAGAATTTACCAGCATAGAACCTGCATCCGAAATACTTTTTACCGTAGCTGTGTGCGGGGTTCGAGATTTTGTTTTTAAAGCCATCAAATCGCTGAGACTGACCGCGTCACTCACATTTTCACAGCAAGGTCGCACGTCCAGTAAAAAAATCGGTTAAAGTGAGTTGCGTGTTTGGCATGAGTGGAAAGTCCACACGCTTGGCTACAGGTACTTTGTGTACCGAGACGTTGAGTAGGAGGCCCGATGGTGGAGGTACCGATATTTTTTCTCGGTCTCCCCCGCTGATCGAAGGGCATCCTCACAGTCTGTGTTTTCAGGTGGTGCTTTACCCGATTTTACCAGCTACAGCGAGACTGTGCCCCTAGAGGTCTTTCCTCCTATGGGGCCTGTTGCGGGTCCCTTTGTGGATCCTTCCTCGCACGGCGAGGCTAGTTGCACCTGGTCTCCTCTGAGGCCTCGGGCACTGAATGCCAACGGGGATGCTGGCAGCCAAGCCTCCGATCTCGGGGCAGGGCTTTTGCGTCAGAGCACATGTTGCACCCCCCCTTTTAGCCAGCCCGGGTTCGTCGCGCAGTAATGGTACAACGGTAACGAATTTACCTTTGTGTCCGGTCTCCACTGTGGGTTTTTACTCCCTTCTTACTCCCTTCCCATGAGCGTCCCCAGACGGAACCGACCCTGTCATGAGATGCACAATCGGACACGCTCTCTCTCTCAAATATTTATGTGGAAAGGAGACAGTTCGCTCGCGTCGGATACAGCCGGTACCTAGGGCGGTCCCTCAGTCTTCCATCCGCAACGACTCGGAGAGCCACGTCTTTGGGGTGATACAGAGTATCATTGATCCTAGTGATACAATGTAAATACCCCCACCCTTGATCTTAAGGCAACCACTTACGATTGCTTCAACGCTTATGGGATCATGGGCGTAGGGATCTAAAGCAACCTTGTCGGCACATCTCTCCCTGTTTGTCCGAGCGGGGCACAGGGCGCGCAAACAGAGTTGATGGGTGGACGTTGGTAATGGAGGTAACGCTTTAAGGCCCCTGGGTGGGGTAAAATCTTGTGCAACACTTTCTGCTGGACCAAACGCTACATGGTTGGTGTAGTTTTTGGATCAGACCCCAAAGTGTGGGATGAGACCAAAACACCCCCAACCGGATCCCAAGGCTCCTTCCCCAGACCCCGGTACCACGAATTTCTGTTTGGCAAACCGGGCAAAGGGGGACAGCCACGTTCCAAGGGCGTTCTCGCCAGCTCAATCTGAGACGATCCATCATGCCCTGAGACACTGCACATCTACATGTGACATCCCCTAGTGTCACCTGGCTCTCTTGGCCAGGGCCACTACTGTGCAACAAGATGCGGCTTTAGACGCGTGTGTTTTTGCCGGCAAACTGAGGCAGGGGGTACGTCCCCACCTCAGTGATGCAGACTGGACATCTTCCACCCTCTTTGTTCGGGAAATGGTGGGTACAGTCTCGGAGCTTCGAAGTGCAATGAACCAGAAGGTTCAGATCAAATCCGCTAGCCAGTTGACTCTGCCAAGGGTAAGCGGAGGGCACCCCAAGCGTCGTCCGCTAGCCAGAGTCAGCCAGGAGGCAAGCGCTCATACCCTTTCATCGGAGTGAAGAGTGCCAACAGGAAGGAAAGGGCCAGGTGGAGGTTCCTCATCCTCCTCAGGCGGTCATCCACCCCGGCAGCGGGAGAAGCATGTTTAACGCTTACCTCTGCGACCGGGAGGACAGGCATGTGTTCGCCGAGTAGCCAGGTCACAACTTAGTGACTACTTCAGGCATTGGGGAAACTCATCTCATGGGAGAAGAGAGCACCCGTAACTGCCGAACCCATGGCCATATATCCCTGTTGTACACAGATTGCGCCGGATTTGGAGACAGCAGGTGACCTATCTCTGGACCTTTCCTGGTGGTGACATTTTGTTACAGGGTACCGTTGAAATCTCCATCTCCCCCGTCAGTGTCTCCCCTATTGGGCACTGCCAGGGGACTCCCGCATAACGAAAGCAATCAGGCAGGAAGTAGCAGTTTGCTGGAAAAGGACACCCTACACAGGGTAGATCAGCCGGCATTAAGTCCAGGCTTCTACTCGAATGTGTTCGTAGTACCAAATCTACAGGTGGCGGGCGTCCAGGTAGAAACAGGTAGTGCTGCTGCTTCACCAGATGTCGGTACACCTCAATCTGTACCTAGACGACTGGTTACTACACAAGGGGTTATTAGCCATACACATCAGGCTAACACAGGATTTACTTCACCAGTTGGACTTTTTAGTAAATCGACAAGTCCCACCTCGACCCAACATGCAGTTGGTGTCCCTGGGCATGGAGTTTTGACACAGAGGTAAGCTTGGCTTAGCTATTTCAAGCGTGTTGCTTAGTGCTAAGCAGCCTACCCGAATGCCTGGTCAGCGTTCCCTCAGTCTCCCTCCGAGAACTAATGTGGATCATCGGAATGATGACCTCGGTTTGAAGGGTGGTTCTCCAGGCCGCACTACGCAGCTGCCCGGTACAACGCTTGTTGTTACAACGCTGAGCTCTCCTATGGGAACCAGATAGGCGGGTTTTGATTTTGGACCAAGTGAAGGAAGCCCTGCCCTGGTGGTCGTCACTGGCCAACCTCGGGCAGGGGGTCTCCTTGGATCCACTCGCCGCAGGTATGACTCTGGTAACAGATGCCTCCCTCCAAGGTTGGGGAGCGCATCTATTGGACGAACAAGTCTAAGGGTATGGCCCCTGCATTAGTTTCGGGACCACCATATTAACCAACTCGAACTGAAAGCAGTGCACTTAGACCCCCAACCACCCCACTCTTTTCGTAGCATTGGTCTAAGTCCTCGATGTGGAGAGAAAGGAACCAGAGTGAATATCCAGCCGTAGTGGCGCCGACATATGGGCTCAGTCACATGGTTCGTGACGTAAGGGAAAAGAATCTTGGGGTCATGGGGCTTCCCCTGACCTAGATTCTATCTCTCCATCATTGGCAGAATCGCTGATTAATGCCTACAGTTCAAAATAGTCATTTTGACTGACCAGAGTCTATGGTGGGTATGAACTATGTGAATAGGCGGGTTTGGAGAACCCTCTGCCTAAATTTCACTCTCCAATCGAATAGTTCTGATATGTTTCAATAGCTATGAACAAATAAAAAAAACTAGCTTCGACGGGATGAAAAACGTTGACTTTTGAAACAGACAGGAAAGCATAGTGTGCAGCAATCAGCTGAGCATGCTTCGCGGAAAGGCGTATCGCTCACTGTTTCGGATATGGTCCCACTCACACCCTTGAACAATAGCTGTTTCCTGACCGGTCTATAGAGGGACTATGATTAATCATGGAGCTGTACCTTATATGAACCTCCATGGAATAATGAAATATAAAAATTGTTTTATGCTCAACAGTTCAACATTCATTGCTGTTTTATTGAGAACAGTTTTGCATGAAATGTACATAAATTTTTCTATTAATGCTTTAGTTTTCTAATTACTGGTACAGCATGTCCAAACTATCCAACTGATTGTCTGAAGTTATTAAGTCATGACTAGAAAATAATGGCAACACAGTAAATCTAATCAGATCTAATCTCAAATACCACTACAATCATTTATCATATAACAAAACACTTGTTTCTGTGATATGTTTTTGAGAATTACTAATATTTTATAGTGTCTTTTTCCCTAAATTAATTTAGGAATGGTCCTAACACAGTTGTTGGTACAACACCGGTGACAACAACATTGATCACAATTACGCCAATAAAACATCAACAAATACCAGACTTGCCGATGGATAACAACTTAATATTTGAAGTAACAGTCTTCTTCTATTTAGTGATGGCATTGTTTCTTCAATATATCAACATCTATAGAACTGTCTGGTGGCTTCCACATTCTCCTGCAACAACTGCCTTGGTATGTTAACTTGCAATTGGATAAGTAGACTGGTGCATGGCTGAATTTCCAGCCAGCATTACTCATGTAAACATATTCATATTCATATTTAATGAATTTAAATTTAAATTTGATATATGTAGACTGATGCACGACTGACTTTGCTGTCTGCATTTCTCATGTACTTGTCATCACATTCATATCACCGAGTGTCAAATTGGCATGCACCTTTGTTTGTCATACTATTGATATAAATCCATTTTACATTTTGGCTGGGCAAATTTTATTTGATTTGATTATTTCAGAATTTTTACTTGATTGATGTCCACCTGGTGGTCTTCATAATAGTGTTGTTGACAAGAAGACTGGTTTGGAAAATGATTCGAGAGGTTGGTGTTATATTTTATATATCATGTACATTAAGTACAAGTTGTACCTTAAAACTGCCCTTTTAGTCGGTCCCAAAAGATCGGTTGTGGGTTTTTTTTTGTGTAACTGTATACTGTATACAGATATTTACACATGTAGTGTACTAATTCCTGACTTGCTTTATTATGGGGTGTGGTGTTAGACCTTGGTCTCACACATCTCTACTAAACTGGAAGTCAGTGAATCTCCCATAAACAAGCACTTCCTTCAAGAATTATAAGAATTTTTTTGATAACCATTATGACATGGATTTCATCATAAATCACAGTATAGTTCACTCATCTTTGGCATAGTGATCAATAGTTTTATAATTTTTTGCACATTTTTTTGGACTGATTTTGTTTTGTTTGTGCTTTGCCAAAGTTTTTTCCACTCATATCTCAAAACCATTCACGTCAATTCAAATAAAATTTGGTACATTGTATACTGATGGATACTTATA